TCATATTTTTGGCTTAAGGTTTAACGAGGATCTCAGGGCGATAGTTTCAGGGCTTCGTCCAGCTCTCAGGACCCCAGGAAGTCCATGAGCATTTGAAATTCTGTTCTGCAATTCTCCCCCTTTGATCAGAATTCTTCTGTGGACTCTGATCACAATGTTCCGTGTTGGTGGCCGAGTACCATCCAGTTCTTCTGGTCTCGTGGCAAACGAGGCAGCTGTCCATGGAAGCAGGTAGCCACACAGTCCATCTGCTCCTCTTGGTCCTGACTCTCCCTCTCTGTAGCTCCAAGTGAATACAGACCAATTGCTGTGCCTTGCATGGCTGCCTGCAAAATTTTAAGACACAGACACTGTGTATCAAACTAGGAGGTAGAACAAAAATACTCAACATGTTAGTAGGCCATTAACTGAGATCTCCCATGAAACTGTGACCCAGAAGCTGCGAAGCTGTGGTGATTTCGTTAGACCACTCCTACTAGGGAACTGCTCTTGACAAGCACTGTGTGTTCTCTCCCGCAAACCTTTTGGGCATTCATTTCTTTACCCCTCAGTCCACTCATTGTTCTCTGCACAGTCTCATCTTCTTGTCCCACCCCTCTGCTCTGTTGCTCCCGGGCTGGGTGTCTCCCGAGTTACAAGCATCTGCCGCCTGGTGGGCTGACCATCCTGGAGCCTCACATGACCTTCCATTTAGCCTTGGCAGCTCCAGTGCTGAAGTGGTTTGCAATCTCTTGTCTGTTTCCCATTGGACCAAGAATTCCTGTGAGCAAGCCCTGGGAGCAGACACCAGGGGGCATGACAAGGAGGGAGGGTGGCTCGTTCCCAGCAGGCTATAAGTGACAAGTTCTGGGTTTTGCCCTGGACTCAACCTGAGGAACACGTGTGGTGGCCGGGCTCTGGGAACACAAGCCCAGGCACAGTGTCTCGTGACTCAGTGGCTGGTTCACCAAATGTACGTGGTCTCAATTTCATGGCTTCAGATACAGAAGATGGGAGTTGGTGCCAGGCCGGGTTTTATTTTCTGTACTCCCTGAGAAGTGTTGGAGAAGGGTTGCTCTGATGATGTGGTTTTGAGCTTGCAGACTGGTGATGCCACAATCACCGCCGGAGACCAGGCTGGAGGAAGGCTTTGTTACTGCTGCTCTCAAGAATCCTGCTGGCTCATGGCCTTGAGGAAACTTCCAGAACTGGGGCAGCAGCTGTTTGGGCCAGTGCCTACTTGGGCCTGGGTTTTAGGAGGTCTGGGAGAATGTTGAGGGGATTGTGGGCTTTGGCTTCAGTGTGGATGCTGCTGAGTGAATAGGAAATGAGGTCATGTTCCAAGCATGTAGTGAGGAAGGGGAGGGGAGTGTAGATGCCTAAATATGGGCTGCTCTGCAGGCCAATTCAGTTTGGTAGATACCGCTGTGGGGCTCCTTGGCTCTAAAGACACATGGTGGCCCATCTGCCTATTGAGGGTGGCCTGGGTGACTGCACCGAGGACTGTCCAAGGGTTCAGCTTCATTCCTTCCTCGCTGGGAAACAGGCCCTTGGTTTTGAGCCCTTAAAGCCTCCTTCTCCCAGCCGCCCCCACACTTCAGTGAGCGTTCCCACCCACGCTGAGCAGGGGTGCTGTGAGAACCTTTGGAAACCGCTCCCATGTTGGGAGTTAGATGCTGTCAGTAACAAGTGACAGGTAGCACCAGGGACTGTCAGAAGAACAAACAAATCTGTGTAGAAAGAAGTACAGCCAGAATGTTCCTTAGAAGCCAGGATGGCCAGGCTTTATCCCTCATACTTTGGACATGTTATCAGGAGGGACCAGTCCCTGGAGAAGGACATCATGCTTGATTAAATGGAGGGTCAACAAAAAAAAGGAAGCCCTCCCCCCAGTGAGCTGGATTGGCACAGTGGCCGCAAGCATAGCAGCGTTTGTGAAGATGGCACTGGGCCAGGCGGTGTTGTGTTCTGTTGTGCACGGTGTCGTCACTATGATGTCTCCTAACAGCAACAACAACAAATGCAGCCGTCAGGTTTCCACATTGTGAGAAAGCATTCAGCATCACAATGTCCTAACTCTGAACATCTGATGGAGGAGCAAAGGCCGTGGGCCAACCACAGAGAGAGAGAGAGAGAGAGACCAGTGACTGTTGGTGACCCTAACGTGTTAGTTTTGAGGTTGGGGTCGGGGCCACTGGATCAGTCTGCTGATGAGCACCTCAGTGATGTTTCAGGTAGGATTGGACAGGAATGGGCTCTGGGTCCCCTTTGTGGTGGGAGGTGGGGACAGTCCCTTTGGCAGTGGAACCAGAAGTTTGGAATGAGGTGCTTCCTCAGCTTTCAGAACACTGTCAGTTTGCCACAGTGACTTTTATAGTTGGTAGAACTGAGAGAGGGTGAAGAAGTAAATTCGTCATTGAAACCTAGGGCTGGGAGCTCCAGGGTGCGTATGCTGGGGTTGTGTGACGGTACAGCTTACTAACAGCTGTGAGGAGGGCGCAGGACAGGATGGGGCCAACACAGCAGCACCCACCAGCAGTAAAAGTAACCCCTGACCCCTGAGAGAACCGAGGAGCCTGTGCACTGTGGGGACCTGTGAGAGAAGGAAAACTCACATCTTTCCCACTAAATAGAGAGCGATGGAAAGTGGTGAGGACACCCTGTCCAAAGGTGGGATAGCAAAGCTCGCCCAGGTTTCACTGGGTGCAGTGCGAAGCTCATACTTTATCTTCCATAGAAAAGATGGAGTAGATCCCAAATGCTAGCCTGCCTACCTGCCCATGCCATGCCATCTCCATGACCGACCCAGCCTGAGCCCCCCTGAAAGTGATAGCCCCTGGGGGCCTTGTGCCCCTCACCTGTTTGGGAACATTTGGGGGCAGGCCACAGGCACCTGTTTGGAGAGTGGTTAGACAGGACCAGCATGTCTGTAGTTCCCAGAACTCTTCCTGAATAACTCATCTCAGGATCTAGGAGACGGTCTGTGTACCGAGATGATGCCCTGCAGCATGGAGCTGGATAGAACAAGCCACGGCATGTCTGAGGTAGAGTCACATCCACCCGGCTTGGAAAGTTCTTGGAGAAACGGAATACAGAGAGAACTGAATTGTTCCATGAACAAGTCCTCGCCTATATGTAGCCAGTACTTTTATAGTTACAAATAGCTTTTTAAAAAAGAAAACTTACTGTGTTCTGAGTGAGTGAAGGTTTACAGGGCAGAGCATCACTTTTACATTCAGCAAATCAATGCAATGATTCCAACCCCCTCCATGCACCAGCAGTAACAGTATTACCTCTGTTGCCTTTTTTCTTTTAATTATGCATACCAAATTGAAAATATATACTGGTTTAAATGTCCAAGGGCACATTTTGTGAGCCAGCCTCCTTCCTGCCCCCAGGCACACTGCCTTTCTCAGTCCATGGACCTCGTGACCTCTGCTCTCTGTCTCTCCATGCCATGGCCTCGGCCACCATCTCTGTTGTGTCTGCTTTTCTGGTCACGATCCCTCCCTCCTCTCATGTTCTTCCCTCTTGATGGTCCTAGGGTCCTCTGTTCCTGAGATGACAGATGAACTGCTCCCCCTTCTAGTTGCACCTCTTCTATATTTACAGATATGACAATCACCATTAGCCCTGATAACACTTGCAATTAAATATGAAATCCTATCCCATCATCACCACACCCATCTGGACAAGAGGAAAACTATTCAGTGGGGTTTCTATCTTAACTCCCCTCGTTCTGACACTAAGCCAGCCACTTCGTGCCTTTAAAGTCCCCTAGTTTTGAGAGCCGAAGTCTAAGCTGCCGGACCCTGTCAACCCTGTGTACTGAGGAGGCACACTTGATGCTTGATATGGAGAGTGCTTCCCTTTCAGTTGGGGTTTTGGGCAGCTTCATCCATAAGGTCCCTTTGATCTGGTTGGAGCAGTTGGCATTTGCCCCCAGTACCAGACGTCTTTATCTTCATCTGGTGGAAGACTGGTCAGCAAGCCTTCCAAGCTAGGTCAAATGAGTACTTTCTGCAACTTTGGGAGTTCTTACACACCTCCCCCCTCTTCAAACCAGCTGGCCACTTCACTCTTAATACTAGCCCTCAGTGTCCTGGGGCTCGGAAGTCGACACACCAGCCAGCCCTTCCTCTTCTCTCTCTCATCTCAAGGTTATGGGGTGATGAACAGTTTTTAACGAGGAAAGTGTTTTTATTATAATGCATGAAAAATGTTGGATATGCGCTGTGATCACAAGTACCATAAAAATTAAGTTAAAAAGTCCAGAGGAAAATACGCAAATGTTCACGCTTACTGCTTGTAGATGGGAGCATCACGATTTAAATGGAACATTTCCTGCTGATTCCCTTGTTGTCTATAGTACATACTCACTCTGGACTCTGGGGAAATGCGAGTCTGGAAAGATTGTAGAATCTTTCCAATACTGATGCTGTTGAGTTTGAATTACTGCTTCAGGTAACCTAAGAATTGACTTTCTGCTTTCGATACTTCGGGATTGGGTCTAAGTATGGGTGGGCTGAGGCTCTCGGAAGCAGAGCCATGAAGAGTCTCACTCCACCTCAAAGGTGAAGTACCTGAGACTCTGAAAATCAGCACTTGTCTTTAAGGGGCCTTGGTGGTGCAGCAGGTTAAGTGTTGATCAGCTAACCAAAAGGTCAGAAAGGCGAGGCTGTCTGTTCCCATGAAGATTTACAGTGGGGACACGGCAGGGGGCAGTTCTCTGTCCTAGAGGGTTGCCGTGTGGCCTGGGCCACTTGGCCTTTTCTTCCTGATGTGCTAAGTCCTGTGTGCTCAGGCCACTGAGCAGCGGCTGGAAGATCCTCCTGCAAGGTGTCTAGGGCCAGCAGCCCCCTCTCATAGGAGCCTGCCCCCAGGGCTCAGGTAGTGGCTGACTTAAATCCAGGGCCTTTGATTTGAATTCACCTTTCACTCTCTGCCAGGACTCTCATAAAAGACCGTGTATCTGGCAACGGGAGTCAAGTCTGACTGAGTTTTCTCCTTAGGGTTCACAGATGGATTCAGTGGAAAAGACAAGTCATAAAAGTGAACAGAAATCAAGGTAAACTAAGTCATCTGCACCTGCAGGCAGACTCACTGACTTCACATGGGGCTCCTTACACGTCACTTAGCAGATTCCCTGTGGGTCCAGGGGGGAGCTGAGGGCTGTTTACCCTTTTGCTCCAACAAAAGAATGATTCCAAAAGGCTGTTTCCTGCCCTGGTGCCCCAGAGCCTGCCCTCAAACCAGCCAGCACGTGGCTAGGGAGTAGGTGGTGGCTTGAGGTGCCTAGCTTGGCAGGGAAGAATTCTTTGACTGTAAATGGGTGGCAGGTTGTACTCGGGAGGGAGCAAGGCAGCCTGGAGCGGGCAGGGTAGAGGGCCTGCCACCACAGGCGGGGCTGTTTCTCAAGGAGGCTATGTTTGCCTGCTTTTTGCAGCTCTAAGCCTGAAAATCGCTGAGGCTTATCATCACCATGTTGTTGTTGTTAAGTACTGTGGAGTCAGTTCTGACTCACAGTGACCCTGCACAGGTTTTCCGAGGCTGCAATTCTTTACGGGAGCAGACAGCCTTATCTTTCTCCCGCAGAACAGCTGGTAGAACTGCGAACCTCGAGGTTAGCAGCCTGATGATGGGTCACTTAAAGAGCCCTGGTGGCATAGTGGGTTAAGTGTTACACAGCTAATCACAGGGTTGACAGTTCGAACCCACCAGCCGCTTGGAGGGAGAACAGTGAAGCTATTTGCCCCCATGAAGACACACAGCCTTGGAGACCTTATGGGGCAGTTCTGCTCAGAGTCGGTCACCCCGATGGCAGTGGGATATGTCTTGGGACACCTACGATGAGTAAGACACAGCTGCCCCCAGACTTTATGAAATGACTCCTGACTCCTGGTGGCCCGCAGAGCCCACCTCCTTTTCCCATAGAGTGGCAGCTGGCTTTGGTCAGCAGCCTCTGTGCCCAGGGCTCCTTGGCTGTGAGGCGGGAGCTGGTAAATAAAGTCCACGGGAGAACTAGGCTCTCAGCATACTCCCACGCTGACGCCCTTCTCTCTGTCCCTGTTTTAAGTAGAAAGTTTCTCAAAAGCCTGGTCCGGAAGCAGCCCCAGGAGCTCCTCCTGGTCATTGGGACAGGCGTCAGTGCAGCCGTGGCCCCGGGGATCCCGGCGCTGCGCTCCTGGCGAGGCTGCATTGAGGCAGTGATCGAAGCCGCTGGACAGCTGGAGGTGCTGCACCCCGGGGACATCGCCGAGTTCCGGAGGAAGGTGACCAAGGACCGGGACTTGCTGGTGGTTGCCCACGATCTCATCCGCAAGATGTCACCTGTGAGTGTCTGACAGGTGCCGCAGGTCTGCCCATGTCTGACTGGCGAGTCTGGTGGACCGTCTTGGAACCAAGGGAGCAGCTCTGCTCTGCTCTGCGGGGTTGCTGTGTGTCAGAACCAACTCGATGGCACTGGGTCTGTTTGCTGTTCACGTTCGGCCCAGTCAGGCTGACTTTGGGTTCTGGGCCGTGCTGGCAAGTGTGGAGAGAACGCGGCACTCACCTCTCAGCAGGGGCTGGCGGAGGAGCCCATGAGACAGGGGACTCCAGACTCCTTCCTGCTGAGTGGGGCTGGGACAGGTGCGGTGACAGGTCATGGGGGGGGTCCTCCGCACGAGCAGGTGCAGTGGCGTGGTGGGGCCCATCACGGTGTCTCGGCCCTGATGCCAGGAAGCTGTGCAGCGTGGTAGAGGCGGTGGCAAGTGTCTTCTCTTTATTGAAGAGGAACCAAACGATAGTGGGTGGCCCATAATCCTGTTCTGCTTCTCAGGCCGTGACGAGTGTGTCTGCCCAGTGAGGGGGGGTGGACCAAGCAGCCGTCTCCCCGGCCTGACGCAGAAGGTACCCAGGCTGCTGCTGCTTTCATCTCAGTGAGCCGAGTCTGGGAGACCCAGATTCAGGTCCCAGTCAGGGCTTGTCACGTGCAGCCATTTCTGCCTCAGGGGAGGCTGTGTGCAGCTAGGGCGCTCACCTGGTCCCACCAGAGCTTTTAGATTAAGAGGGGCTGGCAAGAAAGGCCTGGGGCTCGACCCCCAAATGTCGGCCAGTGAGAACCCCGTGGGTCCCAGTGAGAACCCTGTGGGTCCCAGTGGTTCTGCACCCAGTTATTGTGAGACGCAGGCCTGGGCAGCGTTTCTTTGCAATGTGCACTATGTGCCCGTGAACTGGGGCAGACTTGACCACAGCTACAAACAGCACCCTCACGTAGCTTGCCTAGAGTTCAGACCGTGACTTCAGCTGGGTCAAGGTGCCAACCGTGGGTGGTGCTCAGAGGGCCTGCAAGGTTAACCTGTATCTAGAGATGAAGTTTTTCTGGACATCACCACCTTCATTCCCCGGGTGACAGTTGGTGGTGCTTTCGTGCACCCGACTGCGTCTGGTCCTTGATCAGCAGTATGCCCCAGAGAATGTGGTGGGATGCTGGGCAGCACAGAGGGCCCACGGAGATGAGGCCCCTCATTGAAGTGAGTGAGGGTGCTGTCGTCTCGGAGAGTTTGGAAGTCAGTCTCCTCTTGTCTCTGTGTGTTTGCTCTTGTTGAGAACTTTGAAGGAGCTCCAGTGAGGCCGTCTGCCCACCTGTCTTGAGGGGAGCTGTGGAGAGGGGGGTGATCGGGGCTGCGGTGTTGGCGCAGGAGTGACCTTGGAGAGGGGGGGTGAGTCGAGTGGGAGTTTTGCCAGGAATTGCAGGAGGAGGGAGGGGAGCTGGATGCATGTGGATGGCGGGTTAGGGAACCACAGCAGGCATGTGGTCGAAGGACGACATTGGTGGGGTAGGCAGGGAGGGGCACAGGGTAGTAGGGTCAGCAGCTTATTGGTCTTGCTGGGGTGACATTTCCCTGAATGCTAGATAGGTGGTCTGGAGAGAGAGAGAGACTGGAGGCAGGAGGCTGGGTGGGAACAGCTCCCAAGGCGGAGGGGTGAGGTCTAGAGTGATCTGGGGCCCTGGGCTGGTCACTGGGGACAGTCAGTGGTGGAGGAATTTGGAGGCCGCCAGGAGCTGAAGTCTCCAGGGAGTGAGGGCTGTGAAGTTTTTACCCCAAAGAGAGCAGCTGGCCGGCCAGCCGGGAGAGGACAGCAGGCAGTCAGCAGGGCACACAGGGGCTGTGGCGAGAAGCCCTTTGGGAGGGTGTCGGGAAGGGGTACCAGAAGGAAGGTGAACATCGACACGAGACTGAAGGTGGGAGGTTCTGCCGACAGTGGACTAGACGCTGGGCTGGGAGCCGTGGGGTGAGGGGATTATGATGGTGTCCATGTGGGGAGAGCTGGGTGAAGGGCTGCAAAGAAGTTCCCCCCACGGGCCACATAGCCATCCTACGGTGGGAGACAGGCGGGCGAGTCCCCAACATTGTGATCCCCTAGAGCAAAGACCCTTCAGAAAAGCTGTTTGGACTCACTTGAGGCCGCAGCCCCTCAGCTGCCCCCTGTCCAGGCCCAGTCTCCGGCTCACTGTCAGCGGTTGAGACATGCCCTCTGACCTCACCTCTTATTTGCCCCCCGTCCCATTCTGCCTCTGGGTCCAGGAGGTGTGCACATGGAAGCCTTTGTCTTGCCTCTACGGAAGTGCCTGGTTTCCTCAGGAAGAGTACTGTACTGTCTACTCCCCAGCCCCCAACTCTGCTTTCCCTGACCTGGACACCCCCATCTGCAGGTCTCTGGCTCCCACCTCTGGGGTCTGCTCCACAAGGCCCGGGCTTGTAACTGCTGTCTTCTTTTCCCCAGCGCACAGGGGACACCAAGCCCAACTTCTTCCAGGACTGTCTGATGGAGGTCTTTGACAACCTGGAGCAGCACATCCAGAACCCACTGGTGCTGCAAGCCATCCTGCGCCTGATGGAGTGCGGCACCATGGTGCTGACCACCAACTACGACAACCTGCTCGAGCTGGTCGGGCAGCAGCAGAACCGGCCCATGGAGTCACTGGACCTCCAGGACAAGACCAAGGTGGGCCGTCACTGTCCATGCTTTGGATACGGCCGCCTGCTCAGGCCCTTCATCTGCCCCACCGTGTCTTACTTCTTTGGTCCCTGGGTAGCGTAAATGGCGTGTACTCTGCCATTAACCTAAAGGGCCATGGTGTGGCGCTGTAGGGTAAGCACTGGACTGCTAACCACAAGGTCAGCAGTTCAAACCCACCAGCCGCTTTCAGAAACAGGATCGCTATAAGTTGGAACCGACTCAGTGCCACTTAACAACAGCAACATTAACCAAAGGTTTGAACTCAGCCAGTGGCAGTGGGCTTCAGTGACATCTCAGCCACAAACGTGACGGGAGCAGCTCTGCTGGGGAAGCAACCAGAGTGGGCACCATGGCAACAGGCTTGGTTTCTGCCAGGCATTCTGTCCCGCAGGCCTGCAAGTTTCCCTAACCTGCATTTCCTTGTGCTCATTGTACAAAACACAGGCCATAAAAATAACACAAAGCAAAACTGCCCACAGGCTGCCTGCTGGGAGTTTGGTTGATCAAATTTGAATTGCTTTCTCGATAACATTTGTGCCCTAACGTTTCCCCTTAATACCTGTTCTCCTGTCAATATTTGGTGCTGTAGGATAAATACTGGACTGCTAACTGCAAGGTTGGTGGTTCAAACCTACCAGTCGCTCTTTGGAAACCCTATGGGTCGGAACCGACTTGATGGCACTTAACAACCACAGTAGCAGCAAACTGTTATAAAAGCAAGATTTCAAATGACCAAATCATGATCATTCTAAGGATGATTGTTCCTCGTCCTCTATTCTCACCAACATGGTTTTACTGTTTACACCCCTCTGCCTCGTTTGCTGCCACAAGGTCAGTTCCTAGAAGAGCCTTGGGGTGAAAGGGTTAAAGGTTGACCATGTCAGTGACCAGTGTACCCTCTCACCAGCTGTGAATGGGGGTGCCTGTTACCTGTATCGGGTCATTTAAAAAGCATAACCAAATGCACTTTAGCCAGTTGCTGCGTGCACGTTAACTGTATTTCTTTGATGAATGAGGCTAATTGCACTCTCGGTTTGCTCACTGTACTTTACTGTGTGTCTGTGAAGTGCCTGCCTCCTCCTGTGTCAGTGTGTATGAAGGTAGACAGCAGTTTCTGCAACTGAGTCCACTCTGGGAGTGGGCACGGGGAGGCTACAGTGTGTGGCGATGGCATCTTGTGTGAGACCCCCGACAAGGGAGGGCTGGGGACACATCCTGGCTCGCAGCTCAGAGTCCCCAACAATCACCTTCCTGGGACATGGGCACAGCCCTGTTGGAAGGTCTCGCTTTGAAATTGTAGTTCCTGCCGCCATTGTGGGTGTCCAGGGCCACCAGTGACACTCGGAGTCCACCCTTCCAGCAAGTCTGTCCCATGTCTTAGGGCTGCTGACCGTTGTAAACAGCGTGTGGAGAGGAGCTACACACTGGCGGCACAGCCCTGCGAGCTAGCCCGGTGAGCGGGGAGCATCTTCCAGCTGTCAGCGGCCTCTGCCTGAGACGGAATCACATGTCAGCTCTGTTCCTAACTGAGCTGTGAATGGCTGGCCATTTGATGTAGTCTGTCTTCCATGTGGATTTCCTTTTCCAGTTAAAGAACGACTTAAGTGTTGGTTTTGTTGTTGGATGCTGTCAAGTTAGTTGTGACTCAAAGGGACCCCGTGCACAACAGAGGAAACACTCACTGCCCTGGTCCCGCGCCATCCTTACAGTTGTGGCGGGTTGAGCCCATTGTTGGCAGCCACTGAGTCAGTCCATCTCTTTGGGGGCCTTCCTCTTTCTCGCTGACTGTCCACTTTCCCAGGCACAACGTCCTTCTCCAGTGCAGTGTTTAAAATATACTGTGTGACTGAGAAGGGTAAGCCTCCCACCGTGACCCTCCTAAAGCAATCCTGTGAGATTTCCTACTGCACTCTGTCTGTAATGAGCTCATGTTGAGCCGCTGTGACCGGAGGAAGGAGCGTCAGTAGCAGTAGAATTTCTCCTCTGTCTTGAAGGTGTCGTTGAAATAGAGAAACCCCGAATTGGGTCAGGAAGCTTCTCTCGTTTCTGCTCAAAGTCATGCCTGCCCTTGCTCTCGCTTCCCCTAGGTCCTGCAGTGGGCGCGAGGACACATCAAGTACGGCGTGCTTCACATTCACGGCCTGTACACAGACCCCTGTGGGATGGTGCTGGACCCGTCCGGGTATAAAGATGTCACCCAAGACCCCGAAGTTATGGTATGGCGCCTTTTCCCCTGCATTTGAGGCCTAGCCTTGGGCTTGGGTGGGGACGGGCACATGGTGGCCTTTAGCCGGCAGCTGTTCACTGAGTATGTGTTTAGTTCTGGGCTCGGGCTGGCCTGGCCCTCCCTTCCCACGCTTGGCCCAGGGCCCTAGGGAACTTCTCAGTAGGATGTCGGTCTGGTCGTTATTTGCACACGAACCATGAACACTAGTGCTGGAGTGTGTCCTGGCCTCTGCCCTCCCACTGCTGTGGAGCAAGCTGGTGTTTTAGCGTTCAGGCCCACTCTTAGCCTTCTCTCTCCACCAGGCTTCTCGATGCTCTTCCGTGACAGATCTGAGGAAGGGCAGCCATTCCTCAGGGCCAAGGCTCAATCTTCTGTCCTGTGCTGACCTTCCAGGGTTCTGGCGGGTCCCTGTCGCTTCCCAGCCCACCTGTCAGCTGCCATGATCCCCTAGATCTGACCCCCTAGATCTGTGTGGCTGTCATACCCTGCATGTCTGACCCTTCTCCTCCTCAGCTTCCCTGGTCCCCACAGACCATACTGTGGAACTGGGACATTGTAAATGCAGGGTGCACTGTGTTTTAATGTTGAAACTCCGCGTCCTGCGCATTGAGCGATTGGAGCGGGGGCAGGGCAACAGCATGGGACCAGCGTCGATTTGGGTGGGGCCCGGGCAGCTGGCTGGTCGCGATAGACATGGGCTCCCTGTACTCTAGGAGGCAGTAAGTGCGTCGTCTGAGAGCTGACCAGGCTGTGGGCTACGTGTCGCCCTTGGTGTCGCATGGCTGGAGAGCAGCAGTGGCTCAGAGCCACCCAGGCTGTGTCTACAGTGAGCATCCGGGTCTCCTCACTTTTTCACAGGAAGCTCTGCAGAACTTGTACCGCACCAGGTCGTTCCTGTTTGTGGGCTGTGGGGAGACCCTCCGTGACCAGATCTTCCAGGCACTCTTCCTGTACTCGGTGCCCGATAAGGTGGAGCTGGAACACTACATGCTGGTCCTCAAGGAGAGTGAGGACCAGTTCTTCAAGCACCAGGCGGACATGCTGCTGCACGGGATCAAGGTGGTGTCTTATGGGGACTGCTTCGACAGCCTCCCCGGCTACGTGCAGGACCTCAGCACTCAGATCTGCAGGCAGCGGAGCCCAGGTACAAGCCCGTCGGTCAAGTTCACCAAACTCCCAGTTCCTTTTGGAAACGACCTCTGGGTGGGGTGGGCTCGTGGTGAGAGTATTATGCTCTGTGATTGGGTGTGGCAGCAGGTCAACCGTCCGCTGTGTGCATGTGTTGTGCAGATCTGGGCCGCCTCAGCTCCCAGGCCAGACTTGAGGGGCCCTTGACCCAGAGGGGAACCCCCAGGCTCAGGCACTTGTGAGGTGTTGTCGCTGTAGAGTACACGTGCTTCTCGCCTCAGCTGCCCCTGGATTCCCACTTGAAAAGTCAGAGTTCCAGGAACACTTGGCGTCTTTTCCCACGTAACCTCATTCTCTGCTCTGCTGCCCACAGCACGCCTTTGGAGGAGCAGGTCATGGGCTAGGAACCACCAAGATGAACTGGGTCATCTTGTTGGGAAGCCACTTTGCATTTGGTGTCATCGATGACAGCAAACTTGAAAAGGCCTGTCCTGATGATCCTTGAGTTGTAACGGGACACCCAGATGTACAGTTTCCCACACCTACAGCCGGCTGGGTGGGATCTTGTTAACTGTGGCCCTTGGACAACTGGGGGATACTGAGATCACCAGGGAGGGCTGCACAGACAATTCAGTAGCCGGTGTGTTTTGTTTTGTCTCTTTTACCACTAGCCTTCCCAGAATTGTCAACAATTACCAGCAGAGACTGATTTAAGCTCCACTGGCCTTCCTAAAGGCGTAACTGGGGATCTGTCAGTTTCTTCCTCAGGGAAGGACAGGAGACAAATGTTTCCCTCTTTACAGTAGCGATAGCTGGGTTTGAACTGTATACCTTGCAGTCCTGATGTGGCACTGAAGGATAAGCACGGAAATGCTAACCGAATGCTAACCGTAAGGTCGGCACTACAAACCCACCTGCTGTTCCTTGGAAACCGAATTAGGGTCGCTGTGAGTTGGAACTGACTCAGCAGCACTGAATGACCGACCACCCCTTAGCCTGGCCCCACTGGCTGCTCCCGCACCGCCGCCCCCAGCAGGAGAGGAGGTAGCGCATCTGTCTCGTTGCTGCCCAGTCCACCTGAGCTACACTCTGCCTCAGGCTCCGGAGGGACGGTGCCAGCAAGGACCCGGACGGCTGTTGGGCTGATGGCGGGGAGGCTGGCCGAGTGCCCTCAGTCCCCCTCCAGGTGGGGCATTACAGCCTACAACAGGGCTCTTCCTGGGCAGCGGGCCTGCGCAGGGAGCACACGGCCAAGGTGAGCTCATTGCTTTGCTTTTGCTCTCTCCTCAGACGCTGACCACGTGGACAGCACCACACTGCTGAGTAAGGCCTGCTTTCTTTCCACCCCGTCATCCCTGGCCCTTCCTGTCACGATAGTCACAGAGATGACCACCCGCCGACCCTCACTCCGCTCCCTGCCACAGTGAGGGGGCAAAGCCACTTAGTTGGCTCTGGGCCACCTGCCACCTCCTGAGGATGGCCTGTTGTTGTCGAACCAGGTGGAAGTGGGCATTCGGAGTGACACATCGCCCGGCCCTTCAGAAACCTCACCTTTTACACAGGGTTTCTGAGAAGGTGCTTTGTAGTGTTTTGATGTTTCTGAGTTTATTGAGACTTGCTTTGTGGCCTAATACCTGGTCTAGTCTGGAGAATGTTCCACGTACACATCTGTGAGGTAGCGTTGTGGTTACCAGTCAGGCTGCTAACCTCAAGGTCAGCAGTTTGAAACTACCAGCTGTTCTGCGGGAGAAGGATGAGGCTTTCTGCTCCCGTAAAGATTTACAACAGGGTCGCTATGAGTCAGAACTGACTCCACAGCACATAACCACCACCACAGTTATTGTAGAGTTGTCGGTTTCTTCAGTTCTATTAGGGTTTGATTTATGTATTTTGAGGTTGTTTCATTGGGACCTTAGATAATTAATTAATTATGGTTATATGTCTTCTTGTTCTGTCAACCCTTTAATCATGAGATAATGTCCTTCTTTGTCTCTTTGGTTTTTGCCTTAAAGTTGATTTTAACAGGGATTAATATTGCCATTCCTGCTCATTTTTTATTTCAATTGGTTTGATACATTTTTTCCATCCTTTAATTTTTAATCTACTTTGTGTCTTTGCATGTGGTGTGTCTCTTGAAGACAGCATATTGAACGATCCTGTTTCTTATCCATTCTGCCACTCTCTATCTCTTGACTGGTTCATTTGGTTCATTGACATTTGGTGTAATTATCGATAGGTATGGATTAATTGCTTTCGTTCTGTTTGTTTCTGCTCTTTGTGTTGCTGCAGGTTTCTTTGTTCTGCTGCATGCTTTCCTGTGCTGAGTTCATTTCTCTTATATTTTTAGTATTGATCATCTGGACCTCTGTTTGCAGGTTTTGAATGGTCTCCAATGCTGTATCCATTTTGTTTGATTGTTCCTGTAGTGCTTTTCTGCATTCTTGTTTTCCTCAACTTTTCTGTGGAACATGTGGATGCACCTTAATAACATTCTCCTGAACTCGTTTTCAGATAGTTCCATTGCCTCTTCTTCCTCAAAAGCATTTTCTTCTATCTTCCTCTTGGTTGTGTGTTTGAGCTATTATGTCTTGTTCCTGCATGTGAGCAGAAATTTTCTGCTTTTTAGGCATTGTGGTGGTGGTGTACTTGTATTAAGTTGATGAATGTATGTTGGTGTATTCTTAGGCACTCACAGATTGTCTCCTGGGGTATATGATCAGGAGATGAGCTTCTCTGTTCACTGTTCCCCACAGTTCAGTTCAGAGTGGATTTGGCAGATGTTGGTGGGATTTTAGAGGCTAGAGTTGTGGCTTGTCTGTATGGCTGCAGTTGCTGCCCTTTTTCTCTGCAAGTTGCAGACAGGCTTCTGCAATGGGAATGCTCTCGTCTCCCAATCCACTCACTACTCCCATTCAGATTGGCGGTGGTGGGTCATGCTGGCCGCTCCGAATCAGAGGTCGCCTCCTTTCTTGCTTTGTTCAAATTCTTTCTCCTGCTGAGCACTCGATCCACTTACTGACCCCTTCATGCTTGGAGTTCTAGAACCATCCTCTGAATCTCTTCCGTCCGCTTTTCCATGTCTTGGAGTTCTGGAACCATCTCCTGAATCTCTTCCGTCCACTTTTCCATATCTTGGAATTCTGGAACCATCCTCTGAATCTCTTCCATCCACTCTTCCATGTCTTTGCTAAAGAAAGTCTGTGCAGCCATTCTGCCTGGTCTGCCATCAAGCCTACTCGTTTTTCTGGTTAATACTTGCTCAGAATGTGAGCCTTCCTCCTGCTGGGCTAACTCAGCCAATTTTATAAATTCGCAAGAGCTGCTTGTGGTCAGGAGCTCCTGGGGTCTTCATGTGGGTGGATTTGGCCTCAGGCCCTCCCACCTGCTGGCTTGGGGACTGGGAGTAGAGGCCTATGTGGACAGCCCTGTCCTGTCTGCTGGCTGACCCAGGGACCCCCGAGATGAAGACATGTGTCTATGTGGGTGTCTTAGTGCTGGCAGAGCTGCTTTCTGCTTCCCGATGCTCTGGTCACCATGGGAAGGACACACTGGCTGTAGCTCCTTTCTCACTCGCATGACCTCTGGCAGCACAGAGAGCCGTCTTTAGGGCACATCGGGAGCGGGCTCTTGGAGGGTGGGCACCAGAGTAGGGTGCACAAAACCTAGAACTCAGCCTCTCACCACAGCATCTCCGCCCTCCAGGTAGCGCCTGTCAGGACTGTGCGAAGAGGAAACTAGAAGAGAACGGATTGGGACTTTCAAAAAAACCTCGACAGTCAGACACTGGTAATCTTTTCTCTGTGTTTGTTGGAATCATGTTTCAAATGTAATGTCATCGAGTGCTCCATTTCCTGTCCCCAGCCTCTTGGCGGGAGGGATGATGCCCATATCGCACCTACACTGCAGCCAACAGAAGTCACACTTCCCACCTCCTCACCGTTTTGTTGAAGGAAAATATACAGAGAAAGTGAACAGATTGTCAGGCCAGCGTGACGACTTTTCACCCAAATGACTGTAACTCTTGGAAACCATTTGTAGGCTTGCTATGGGTTGGAAACGATTCGATGACACTTAGCAACAACAACAGCTATAACCCAGGAGCCCTGGTGTGGCACTCACTGTAAGATAAGAACTGGACTGCTAATTGCAAGGTCGGCGGTTCAAACCCACCAGCTGCTCCTTGGAAACCCTACACAGGGTTGCTATGAGTCAGAACCAAGTTGATGTCACTTAACAACAGCAACCATAGCCCAAAAAGATACCTGGTGGCATGATAGGTTCCTTATTAGGCTGCTGATCACAAGGTCAGCAATTCGAATCCACCAACTGCTCCACCGAAGAAAAGAAGGCTTTCTGTTCTAATCAAAGTTTAGGTCTCAGAAACCCTCTGGGGTAGGTCTCTGTCTAAGGGTCACTATGACAGCAGTCTGTCTGCTTGACCCATACCCAGTTCCAGAACAGTGCTGTCAAGGCTGAGTGTGGATTTTCCTACGTTCTGCAAAGTGCGTCTCTGTTTTACAGCTTCTGTCCCTTGGTGCTAAAGGCGATGCTGTCCCAACTGCCGTCACCTTGGTCTCAGAGCAAAACACTTTCAATTGTGTTTGGTGTGAGTCCCATCCGTTACTGAACCCCATGTGAGGAAGCAGGATCTGGTGCGCTCACACCCGGCTCTGCCTTGCCTTCCTCCCGGGTCGTGACATGCTCTTGGTTCTCTGTCCCTTCTCCTCCCCGGCTGCCCTGCAGAACTGAGGGAGTGGAGAAGCCTCCAGCCTGTTAAGTCAGTTCTAAAGGTTAAACAAAGAAGCTGTTACATTATTAAAGTAACTGTAAACCGGGGTGCTTTGAGGCCAGCTCCTGTTGTGTCCTGCCCTGCGGGGTGCTCGTCCCAGGCCAGGGGCCTTGTCAAGGTCAAGTGAGGATTCTTTCTTCTTGTGACCGGAATGCACTTGCATTTCTTTATATTTTTGGATGAGTTTTTAGATTCCTTTTCTGTTTGTCCAGTGATAACGTGTTCTCCCATTGTTCTCATAGCTGTTGCCCACGTTCTGCTGTGTCCTCATGGCTGCATTGTTCTTGTCCTCGACTTCCTGTCCTTACTACTTGAGCCTTTCCTGTTCTTGTTCCCCATTCACACGTCCTTAGCCTCCGGGAGCTCCCACCGACACCAGTGTGAACTTGCCCAGGGCTGTGTGTCTGATAGTTGAGTTGAGAGACCCTGATGCCTGTCTTTTTCACAATGACTTATATGAGGGGGATTCAGAGACTTGTGTGAGAATGGCATGAAAAAATTCTGGAATTTTTTGAGGACCTATTTGAAGCCCCCTGGCATGCTCTGCAGCCTGCTGCTTTCCTTCCTGAAAACTGTGGGGATCTCCTTTCTGACGTTTAGCAATTGTGTAAGGATAGGTTGGGGGAAAGTCTTTGGGATTTACCTGGCTTAGTTTTTCTCTTTTTTCCAGTCCTGAAATTCTTCCCATGATCATTGTTTTTCTCATCTCTGTTCTCATTTCCTGGAATTCTTAGTAAATTGGAGCTCTGGGATTGGTTTCTAACAACTCTTACACTTTCCCTAACATCTCTTAATTTCCGGACACCAATTTGAAAACAGCTTTCTGGGAGACTCTGTCCCAGCTCCTGAGTTGGATGTTCACTTTGACGTGTTCTCTTCCATTTAACAGAGTTCCATTTGCTGAGCTGTCTTTTCTCTTTCCCACTGTTTTTTTTATCAATGTTATCTTTTCACACCTCTGGAGACCTTGGGCACCTAGTCATCTGATGCTGGCCATTCCCAACAGCATTTGGGAGAGAGGATTTTCAGATACTTGGAGTTTGTTTTTCTTTTAATAAGAAAACTGACAGTGAACACCTGTCACCAGCCACCAGTGAGTTTTAAGTGCTCTGAGTCACTTAACATGTTAATTGCCTATTTACTAAGCAATAAACCAATTCATTAGTGGGTCTACTTGAGCCCTGGTGGGGTCATGGTTAGGCACTTGACTGCTAACTAGGTGGGAGAAAGATGAGTCAGTTTGCTTTCATAAAGACTTACAGACTTTGGAACCCTCTGGGGAGGTTCTCCTCTGTCCTGTCGAACAGCTATGAGTCGTAATCAATGCACTGCTGATAGATTTTAGTGATCAACTTCCACAGGGAATGATGGGTTGGGGGCGAGAGTAGATGGATGGGACTGTGAGTTTTGCTGTTGGGCTGCAGGGGAAGGTGTTAGTGACCCTGCATGATGTAAGTGCTTTAGAATAGACACACATACTGATTTGAGGGAGAGTTAAATTTTGCTAGTGTTTTGGAAAGAAAGCCCTGCACGTCTTCCAGCAAACATGGGACTGTGAGCTGAGCTGTAGGGATACCTGAACTTACAGTCAACAGAGACTCTGTGGGCTTTCCTCCAGCTGTGGCTTTTTCTCATGCTTCTCATTCCTGCTCTGTTTCCTCATTTGTCTTTGATGTTTAAGGGTACATTGTGTTGGTTCCCCCACTGTTGTGCTGTGTGTGTCTGCAGGCCTTCCCTCCATCCCTTGATCCTGTGTTGGGCATGCTGGACAGGCTTTGCTGTAAAGCAGTGGACAGACCACTGCCCAAGCCGGGCCCTTCCCATGCTGATTAAACACTTGGTCTAGGACGCCAGCATGTTACTGCAGCCCACCCATCTTCTCTGCTGTTGGGGGTGTGTTCAGAGACGCAGCCTTCTGGTCTGCCTCCCACATGGCTGGGAGCCGCGTGTTATCCTGGTCTTGCCACACTGCAGATCGGAGAGCTCAGAGCAGCAGATGGCTGCAGCCTCCATGAGCATGTTCTGAGCCTCGTTGTTCCGTACGGGACACACGTGCAGAGTTCCCCTCACCGCCCATCCACTCAGGAACGGAGCCAGCCTGTGACTCGGGAGGCTTCCCGGTCCTTTGCAGACCTTTCATTGTGATTGTCTTCGCCCCCTTTGGTAGACAAGGACTGCTGCTTCCATGTTGGAGGGGTTCTCAAAGTCAGGGCCCCTGAAGAGCGGTAGAACCGCCCCATAGCGTTTCCAGGGCTGCAGTCTTCACAGACGAAGCCAGCCTCATCTTCCTCCCAAGGAGCAGCTGGTGGGTTTGAATTGCTTTTTGGTCCGCAGCCAAGCGCTTACTGCACCACCAGGGCTCCTACCATAAATGCACACAGGCGCACGCACAGTTTCTGAAGTGGAGATCTGGCTACAAATACTGTTGTTACTAAATTTTTTCATTTTGGTGTTCCTTTCTGTTTAAATAGATGGTGCTGGAGGGTCTTGAAATCTTTAAAACCAATAAAACCTGCAACCTGAAAACCAGCCTTCTGTAACCACCATGCCACATGCAAATGATGAGGAGTGTCTAGAGAATGCCGCCCAGGATCTCAATGCCGAATCGTCATACACCCCAAAAGAGTGTGTGGGGGCTGAGGGTGGGTGAAGGAGCCCCCTCTGTCTTGACTGCTGGGAGGAGGGACACACCCACTTCAGGTAACTGCCAGGACGGATGGAAAGACAGACAACTACCTCAGGGATAGTGACAGCGGTGTCCTGGCGTCCCTCAGACTGTTTACCAAGGTGGTTTTTTTTAATAACATGAGGAGCGTGAAGACTCCTACGTAGCAACACTGGTTGCCAAAGAAAAAACAAGAAAGCAGACGCTTGTATGTTACCATTTTATGGGGAAGCAGCTGTTATTGTAGAAACTTCAGAGGTATGTTCATTATATTGTTAAATTGCAAAGAGCGAGTGATAGCCCTTGAGCAGCTAGTGAGGGGGCTTCTTTGGAATGTTGTCCTTCTAGTCACTTCCATTCTAAAGGCACTGGGTTACGCCAGCCTCTGACATGTGGTCACAAGGAACCTTTCAGGGCTCAGCACAGCACCTACGTGGAGACGAGTTTTCACCTTAGTTCAATTCCAAGCTTCTCAAGTCTGTATTTCTGAGGGAGGGTCCCACCTTTCTGTTCTCAACTCTTCCAAGTCCTCTCCCCTTGACCCCATTAAGGGACTTTGCCCTGAGTGAGGTGGGTGAGACCTGTCCGGGCCTGTGCACGTCACACACCTCCAGGGTCTGCCTGAGCCCAGGATCAGAGCCGCATGGAGAACGATGGCAGGAGATGCCTGAAGTCACAACCCGACTCAGAGGCTCCACCTTTCAATGTGACATTTCTGTGACAATGAAGCACCCCGGGGGTGTACAGTTCAGAACCTGGAAGGTTGGGGTGTATTGTGAACGAGACAAGTCTTTTCATTTCCTTTTGAAGCACGGAAGGCAGCCCTTTATACTGTCGCTCCGGTCATTGCTGAATAAAATGGTAACTTCCACCCAGCGTGCGTCCCTTTGCTTCAGGTCGGAGGTGGCTCAGCAGCATGTGTGGAATGAATGAGGGGGTTTGTCGTGGAAGCTGCTGCTTGGTTAGGACTCCAGAGGACAGCTTGAACTTGATGGTTTTTAAAAAGCCAACACTATTTACAGAGCACCATTGGGGACAGCCAGCCTGACCTGAAAGGGTGACAAGAACAATGGTCAGACATGTGGACACCAGCTGGGGCAGTGAGGCTGGGCCTGCTCGTGATGGAGGACTGTTGGCAGCTGGGGCAGTGGTCCTCCTTGCTGGTCATTAGGGAGCAGCATGCACAAAATGCAGTTGCTTATGTTGTTATATACGTGAGAAAAGGACCACAAGGTGAGGCCCTGTCTGTCCAAGCCAGAACAGTGTTTTTATTCTTTAGGAAGTTGAACACAGGTATCCACAGAATAGTCGTCTTGCTGCCTCTCCAAATCCTAACTAGACACCGCCTGGCCCTTTCAGAAGACCCATCGCTGCCCTCACTAGGTAACACTGATGACTTCTCCCAGCTGCTGCAAGATGCCGAAGACCACCAAGGGTCTCACACACCTTCTCTGTTTCCCACCCCTCCGGCTGGGGTTCTAGTCTCTACAGCCCTTCTCCTTCTCCTAAGCAACTGTCTCCTGATGCTCACTGCCTCCAGCAAATCACCCAGGAGGCTTTCAAGAGCGAGTTGCCTTGGTGTCTGCAGCACTTGTGGCTGAACCACAGAGTGTACAACTCTGTGTGTGTGTGTGAGTGTAAGCGTGCACTTGTGCTGTACTCTCATAGAGCTGACGGGACACTTTAAGGCTCACCGTCATTGAGTGGAAGTGATGAGCGAGGGAGGATGCCCAGGTGAGGGTGGGTCCTCAAGTCCCAGGCAGCACTTACATGGACAGCCGGTGCTGAAGTTGATGCCTTTCAAGCAGAACTTCAAACAGGCCCTCCAGCTTTGGTCATGGCTCTTGAAGTACCACCAGATGCACCCAACAGGGAGGACAGGGTGAGGCCTTGTGGTGCACTGATCTCCTCCCCTCTTAGAACCAGGGCAGTCTTCACGGAGAACCGAAAGAGCAGGGCCCTGCTGGAAGATAGCAGCAGCAAGCACGCCACCTCAAATGCGTCACCCTCCAGTCCTGGCAGTAATCCAGTCTTGGATCAGGTGACTGAAAGGGCTCGAAGCCCTATCCAGGGCTTCCTCCAATGTCTTCCCTGTTCTGGTGCCACACGCTTCACAAATCTGGGTCTGTTCTGTTCCACCGGATTGGCCATGAGTGAACTGGTGTGAAGCCCTGCTTTTGAGAGGGGAGCAGTGGGTGACTTAGATCCTGTGGTGGTGGCACTACACCAGGAAGGCAGGAGGACCAGTGACCTCGGCCTTGGACAGTTTCAGGTTTCTACTCTTGGGCTGCACACTCCTCGAGAGCAGGGCTTACTCTGAGTGTATGTTGTCTGGCTGTTACAGGAAATGATGCTGAGTAGTTGAAAGCAATTCTGTTACTCCTTGACTACTCCTTGTTCAGCTCTGAAGGTGAACAACCTTAAGTAGAAGACCACCAGCATCGGCGTCAAGTTTTTGGGTTCCATTTTGAACTGGAAATAAAGTACGACTGAAAAGTGCAGCGTTCTTTCCTACGCGTAACAGTGTGTTTAATGGAGATGCCAGTTCTTATTTGAGAAAGCCCATTTCTAAATTTCCTCTAACAAAGTATATTTAGAAAAATATGGACTGCATTGGAACAAACCCATTTTAATTTTTACCATTAAAGTTGTTTTTTGTTTCCAAAGTTGTAGATTGAGATGTTTAGAATTTTAATTTTTATTGGAATTTTCAACATGGATAAACAGTTGCTCTGAAATAATTTCCCATAAAACAATGTACTACCCCACTCTATTGTTTAAAAACTAAGAATTTCCCTTAACAGTTACTTAAAGGCGCCGAACTTGGCAAGACTCAGGGGAGAATGAAATGGGAATGGAAATGTTGCTCACTAAATTGTTTCCAGATGGAAATTCAGTTAGGGTACATAGTTAACTCTTTCCTTAAACTCAAAAGTCAACCCTTAACTGGAAATGCCCCTCTGGGGGTAGGGGTGGGGGTGGTAAACACGCCCTCCCTGGAATGAGCTACTCTGCTCAAGCCCTCTGATCTTCCTGAACTGTGTGGACTCTAGCGAGCACTAAACTGAGCTGACTCAACCTGGCACTGCCGGACTGTCTGGAGTGCACGCTGCCTCAACAGGGCGCTCGATCCTTGCGGGACTCTGGGTGCCTGTTGCTGTCTTCCGGGCTGTCAGTGTCTGGGTACTGAGAGAGATCGAGGGTCAGAACCCTGCTGAACATGCAGTCGTCTTCCTAGAAGGAAGAGAAGGCGGAATGTCAGTTTCTAGGCCGTTCTGGGTGTGTACTGACCCAGACAAGAACTTGCATGACCCTGAAAGGTCAGTCATCTGCCTGACTCTAGCCATTTGTGTCACCTGGCACCAGACTGTCCATTCTTCCATAAAGTATGTTTCCGGATAGGGTCCCCTACTATTCTTGGGCACAGGAAGGCAAGACCATTCTTAACTGAGCATCAAGGAACTCTCAGGAATGAAAACCTAGCTCCAAAAACCAAATGACTTTGGATTGGCTGCTGAAGCCTATTAGCTCACACACTATTCTGAACTTAAAAAGCTACCACAGGACTCGGATCATCCAGTAAATGTCTTGGTGCCAAGGTAAGTGGTCCCTTGTCCTACCCCAGGGCATCTGTTTTTGAATGAAATGACCAAACGTTACAGTAACAGTCTAGTCTGTGTGGGAGTTAACATGCACCAATGTTTTACCAAATTCTTATACCTACTGTTTTGCCATGATCAGTTTGCTTGTTTCGTATAAAATACATCTTAAATCTCTGTACTGTTAAGAATAGCCATTACTTTTAAATCTTGAGTAAAAAATTACTTCAGCCATGTATGTTATACAGAAACCAACCCGTGTCTGTAGACTTTGTGTAGAGACTTTTTTTCCAATTAAAATTTTGGGGTAATCTGAAAAATTAGTGGTAAAATATAAGTACCATATCCATGTGTCCTTTCATCCACTGTGATGTGTAGGATTCAGTGTCCTTAATTCTACTCACCATGGGTGCCCGGCACCCCTCTCCCCGCTCCAAGATCTTACCTCTGGGCAGATGCCTACAAGCGCGTCGGCTCTGGAGTAGAACTCCTCTTTCAGGGAGATGACTATCATCTGAAACTGCTCCTGTGTCTGCTCTTTGATGTAACTTGATACCTGGAAAGGAAGAGACAGCACCCTGTCACTGGACAATGGGAATGGCTCAGATTCTAAATAGGAGTTAAGGAAAAATGCAAACCTCTTCACAATCATCATACAAAACAAAGGATATTTCTATAAAAGACAGCTCTCAGTGTGTGGATGCGCCGTCGGCTTTTTTTTTATTGTTATGTTTTACTATGAATTATGTGATAGTTTACATGGGAGAACATAAGCTTTACATTCATCCTGTTGTATATCGTTTTATTGCCATGGTTACAATCCCATCATCAACCTGCCCCCCGTTTCACAGCCCCTCTCTCTTAAGTCCAAAGTCCCCAGCTGCTCCATCTCAACACGTCGTCATCTCTGCCTCCATCTCTGGTGTCACTGTTTCTCTGGGTAGGGTCCAGCACTCTGCTCTTCTCCCTTAATGGTCCCAGGGACCTTCGCTCCTGGACTGCAAAATCAATCACCCCTCCTTTTGCTACAAAACGTCTACCTTTACATTTCCAACCCTCACAATCAGTCCTGATAACAATTATTCACTATTGTATCACAAGAGACCTATCCCCATCTCCTTTCATCAGCCCCACCCAGACAGATTGGATACTACTCAGTGGAGATTCTACCTTCCTCTGCGCCCTTCTGGATCTAGGCTCCCACTTGAAAGCTTATAAACCAGTCACTTCTTGCCTTTGTAGCCCTTCCATTTGGGGTAGCCAATGTCCAAGTTGCCCATCCCTGTCTACTCTGTATGGACGGGGTGGGAATGATCCTCTGTAGAGATTTGTTCCTTCTTTTGAGCTACTGCATCCTTAGGTGTAGGTCAAGTTCATCCAATTGGATCAGTTTACTGTTTTTCTCCTCTCTTGTTCTTCTAGTTGAGCTCTGATCATCCAGTCATTGAAGCCAGGTTAAGTGGGGCCATCGGCTTTTGTGATGTGAGCAGTCACTACCGTGTGAGCTGTCTGTGAGGTGAAGGGCCACTTAGAGAACCCACTTAACCGTTCTGCCAACTCAGCCTGGAGGGGGAACTATGGCAGCCACCGGGTAATCATAATCCCTAATGTAGTCATGGGGTTAAGAAAGGAATGAAGGTGGTGGCTCCTCCAGGAAGTCCCATTCCCAGCAAAGAGGAAAAGAACAAAACTAGCACCGGGCAGATGTGGGTCTGTGAGGAAATGAGTCAGAACTTGGAGAACAGTTGTGAAGGTGGTGGACTCAGACTATCGACAGTCTAACAAGATCTTTGTCTAAGGTGAATCCAGTATTAGGAGCAGGAAAGGCGCCCTCTGGTGGAGACTGATGACACAGAACTCAGACGTCAGGGATTCCAGCATGAGGCAATGGGAGGGGAGACAGGACCGGGAGAGTCCTGGACACTGGAAGGCACAGGCACGAGGAAAGGACGTTAAGATGCAGAGCACACCCGTGGGAGCTGGGCTTCGATGAGACCACCTTGGTTTTCAGGTCTCACGAGCTTCCCGCCCTTGACAGGTGCAATCTTGGCATTTTCTACCCTGGGTTTAGTGGAAATACTTGTGCTTTCCCACTGTGCCAGGTTTCCCAGGTCTTACTGTATGGATGTCAGGGCTAGAGGTAGCTTTGCAGCAGTGGTGGCGCTGCGGGCAGGTGCTCAGGTTCACAGGGGAAATTGAGAATGGGAGTGGGGCTAGCACCTGGGCTGCGTGTCCCACCTGGAGTCCGGAGGAGCCCTGGCCTAGGAGCTACACACTCAAACCCAGGTGGTCTCCTCACCGTGTTCCTCCTCTTTCTCCAGGTTCCCGGGAAATCTGATGGTTTGGGGCTGGTAAATGGAGTCCTGGTGTGGCGCTGTGGGCTAATGCCTCAGACTGCAAAGTCGTTTGAACTGCAAGGTCAGCGGTTCAAGCTCACCAGCTGCTGCTTGGAAACCCTATACAGGGTCGCTATGAGTCAGAATCAACTCAACAGCACTTCACAACAACAACAATAGGCCTGAGAACTTGTTTGTTTTCTACATTGTGTAACTGTGGAGTGGACATATCCAACGGTTACTTGGGTCAGGCATACCCAAATGCCACCAGAAGGTACCTCAAACTGCAGCATCTGCCAGCTCCCAGGCCTTTACTGAAAGGCCCACAGCTAGGGGGGTGGCGCCCCAGCAGGGAGCACGCCTCTCAGGGTGGACTAAGCCCAAAATAAATGCCCTCCAGTGTGACCAACAGCAATGTGGAGCCTGGGGAGTCTCCTCCAGCTCTCGATGAAGGCCCAGCAATGGGTCATGCCCCAAGCCTCTGAAGCTCACGCCTCCCTCCCTGGCAGCATAGGTCCAGTCAGCATTGTCTCTGTCCACTATTCCTGTTTTCACAGGTGACCCAAGAATGTAGCAGAAATTCAACCCACTGACTGTTCAAAATGTAGCTGAGAGCTTGGCTCTTCACAGTGGCTTTGTCCACTCTTCATGGACCCAGAAGTGCCTGTGCAAGAGGCTGTTTCCTTGTCCTAGACACCGAAGACAGTCTCATGCACAATGGCACCAGCTGGCTGCAAAGATCTGGTAGACACAACTGGGGGAGGGACAGAATTTTGAAGTCTAAATCCTGAAGTTTATTGAGATGACTTCATCGAGGAGAGCGCACATGGCTGTGTGGGAGGAGCTCGAGGTGGGAAGCTGTGGTCCCAGTGTGGCCATCTTCTTGGACTCTGTTGATTCCAACAATTCACAGAGGCCCAAACCAACGGAGCTGAGCTGGCCTGCTTCTAGATACTTAACTTGGAGTTAAGAAAAGTTTGGTTTGTAATCAGTTGTTGCTTTCCCTACACTTGTTTGCTTGGCGTACACTGATGGAGTCGAACGGAAGGGTACTTACTTTGCCGATGTTGGTGTTGTCGAGGGCTGCATCCACTTCATCTAACACGAAGAACGGAGCAGGCCGAAAGCTGGAGGAACAGAACAGCTGGTCAGTGATGGCCTCTAGTTGGTTCCTGATGGCCAGGGGAGGGGCAGTGGTATTCAGACCAGAGATCTCTCCTGCTGAGTAGAGCTGCCCCCTCACACTGGACCCAGCGGGCACTTCCAAGGTTGAGCACCCCTTCTTCCTTGAAGTTTCCTTTGACTTCTAGGGTTCCACCCAACTCATACCCTGGCTGCTCCATCAGCCTCTGAGGCAGCTAGCCTCTCACCTGCAGATTTCTGTCTGCAGCGCCCTGGGCTCCAGGTGCAGATTGCTCTTCTAAGTGTCTGCCTTTGCTCTCACCCTCGTCCCCAGGGCACCTCACCTACGCTCCATTCCTGCACCTCATTCACCTTACCCACGCTCCCATCCACATACCTATGTTGTGCCATGGAGTCGGTTTCTATTCACAGCAACCTTGTGTAGCATTTCTGCAGACTGGCTAGTGGATTTGAACCACTGACCTTGTAGTCCAATGCGTCTCCTACAGCACCACTGCAGAACTGATTTCACGTTCCTATCTGTGCACTGAGAGGACCCCATCCTTACTTCTACCCGCGGTTCTGTGCCCTCTCATGAACTCCATGTCCAGCAGCTTACTCAGCAGCCCCTGCTGTGTGTCTAAGCAGCATTTCAAACTCACCCCAGCCACATGGCTCTCCTGCCCTCCAAACCTTTTCCCTCCCTTCATTATCACTCTGGGGGGTTAGGCCCCAGCCCAGGCACCTTCTTCCCTGACTGACCTTGTGTTGCCACTGTTGCCTTGTTCTGGGTTTCCCACCCTGTGCCCACCCTGTTCACCCCTCACACAGCCAGGCTCGTTCTTGCACTTGTCGCTCCCAGACCTACAACCATCCAGATCTGTGCTGGGACGGCATCTTCTCCAGCACGCTGCCCTGGCGTCAGTAAGCATGCAGACGGCCCTGCCGCCCCCTCTCCTGGGCAGGGTTTCTCTCTGGTGCTCGCCCTTCCCTGAGAGTCTCTGTGTTGGAGAGCTCACACACTAGAAAGCTACCTCTATTACCTGTCTTCCTAAAATACAACGGGAATTGCTCTCTGTTTTATCAGAGTTGTGCTTCCAAGGCCTACAGCCGCACCCAGCCCACGGTAAACGTGTGGTGAGTACCTGCTGGACATGGATGGGCGACACTGGGAACAGGCTTCCTCGGCTAGAGGAGTCCTGACTTCCTGGGACTCTCCTTCCCTATGGTGAAGCAGGGCTGGGGGGCCTTCTAGGGTTCCCTTCCTGTCTGTGGTAAGAGGGGCAGTGGCAGCCACCCTGTAGACCCCCATCGAATGCTTTGACTGCCTTTATTTGAGCTAGCCTTCCACTCCCTGATTGATTTGACAAGCAGCAACACTGCTATCATCAGTAGAGTGAAGGAGTTTTAGAAGAACTATTTTGCTTAGCATTCCTTCCTAGCTAGCAGACCTCCAAGTGTGGACCAGCAAAGTCAGACATCATCTTGGTCTGTCTGTCTGGGAAAGGCTGATGTCACAGCTGGCCACTGGAAATCATTCTTGTGTCTCGCTACTGACGACAAAAACAAACTAGAACCTGCCAGAGCCTTGTTGTTAACTGCTGTCCATTTGGTTCTGACTCATAGCATGTAGGGTTCCTGAGGCTGTAAATCTTTGTTAGAGCAGAATGCCTCTTCTTTCTCCCACAGAGTAGGCTGGTGGGCTTGAACTGCTGACTGTAGTTCACAGCCCAGTGCCTGCCCTACTGCGTCACCGAGATGCCTACTACAGCGCCTGACTCCCCTGGCTGCAGGAGAGTGTGTCCCATCTGCTACATGGTCATAGTAACAAGTCTGTAACAAGCTGTGGTGGGGAGGCCCATTCTGTCCCTGCTGCCGGTGCTCCCTCAGAGCCTGCTGTCACCTTGTCCTCACCTGTGCACCGCAAACAGCAAGGCCAGCGCCGCCACACACTTTTCTCCCCCTGACAGGTTGTCCATCGGCATGAAGCGTTTGCCTGGGGCCACACAGCTGTAGCTAATTCCCTCCAAGTACGGCTCTTCTGGATTCTCTGGGCTCAGAAACGCCTGGAATATGACACCAATTTTGCAAGGTCAGAACCATTTGGGTTCCATTTGGGATTGTGGGACTGAAGAGTTAAACTGCAAAATACTCGGCTGGCTGGGAACACGGTGGCTCCAGACAGTAAGCACTGGATTGTCATCCACCAGTCACTCTGTAGGAGAAAGATGAGGCTTTCTGTTCCCTCAAAGACTTAGAGCCTCAGAAGCCCTATAAAGGGTCATTATGACGCCGTGGCACTTAATAACTCAATTGGCTAGGTATTCCTCAATGTGAATGAAAAACAGCAATGCTTATACACAATGCGTTTAGCTTTTCATGTGATCACATGTAAGGGGGGACAAAGAACAAACAATGCATGTAATCCCATGTATGGGGGCAGAAAGAACACTGTATGTGATCACATGTGCAGGGAAACAGGGAAAACACTGCATGTAATCACGTGTACCGGGGGAGGGTGGGTGTGTACAGGGTAAACACACCCACCTGATGGCAGCAGCTTGTGCCAGCATCCCTGTAGATGCAACGACAAGCCTGCCCACTAGGCCAGGCCAGGGGTTGATGGCTTATTACAGAAAATTATTTTCAGGTGACCTTTTTGTGTTTTTTTTTGTTTAATTGAAAAGCACTTTATAAATTTCAAAAATATTTCTGTTGTTGTTAAGTGCTGTTAAGTGCTGTTAAGTCGGTTCCGACTCACAGAGACCCTGTATAGGGGTTCCGAAGAGTAGCTGGTAAGCCTGAACAACCTACCTTGAGGCTGAGTGCTTATCTTAAGGCACCACACCAGGACTCCAACTTTCAAAATTATTGTAGAACAAGATGTACTATTACACTGAAAAGCAGGCCCAGGACACAGCTAATTTATATAAAAGACATAAATATACAAACAATACAAATAATAATTTTATTCTTGGATACTTTACTTTTCTTTCATTTCAGGTTTCCTAAATCACTTTTCATGAGTCCATTAATATTCAAAGGAGAGCTAAATTTGAAGCTTAGCCCTCCAACACTTGTGCCACACTGTATAAACCTCTACTTCTGTCAACCCTTAACATCTACGTCTCGAGATTGTCATGAGTTTCTGTTTCACAAGGGCAACTGCTTCTTATACAGTGGCATCTGCATATCATAAAATACTTAG